GGACTACATCAAAATAAACAGCTTCTGCACAGCAAAGGAAACCATCATCAAAGCTAAAAGACATTTGGGGCACCTGGGTTGCTTAGCCAATTAAGTGGCAGCCTTCAGCTCAGGTTACGTTGGCAGGGTTCCTGATTCGAGCCCTGCATAGGGCTCCCTGCTTAGCAAGGTGTCTCTTCTCCCTCTCCCTCTGGTTCATGCTCTCTCTCCCTCATACTCTCTCTCCTTCTCGCTCTGTCAAATAAACAAATAAAATCTTAAAGAAAAAAAACTGAAAGACAATGTAGTGAATGGGAGAAAGTATTTGCAAATCACATGTCTGATAAAGGGTTAGTATCCAAAATATATAAAGAAGTTATGCAACTCAACACATACACACACACACACACACACACACACACACACACAAACACACACATGCACGCATGCCCATGAATAGTCCTATTAAAAATGGGCAGAAGACATGAACAGATGTTTCTCCAAAGAAGATACACAGATGGCCGATACATGATGCTCAACATCACTATTCATCAGGGAAATACAAATAAAAACCTCAATGACCTATCACTTCACACCTGTTAACAATGGCTCAGATCAAAAATACAAGAAACAACATGTGTTGGTGAGGTTATAGAAAAAAAGGAACCCTTTGCAGAAGGAATGCAAGCTGGTGCAGCCACTGTGGAGAAGAGTATGGAGGTTCCTCAAATGTTAAAAATAGAACTTCCATATGATTCAGTAATCACACTACTAGGTGTTTACCCAAAGAAAATGAAAACACTAATTTGAAAAGATATACACACACTGATGTTTAGGGCACCATCATTTATAATAGCCGAAATATGGAAGCAACTCATATTTGGTAGGTGAATGGATAAAGGAGACAGTGTGTGTGTGTGTGTGTATGTGTGTGTAAAAGGAACTATTAGTCATAAAAAAATGAAATTTTGCCATTTACAATGACACAGACAGAGCTAGAGAGAATAATGCTAAGTAAAGTAAGCTACAGAAAGACTAATACCATATGATTTCACTCCTATGTGGAATTTAAGAAAGAAAACAATTGAACAATGAAAGAAGAGAGACAAACCAAAAACAGGCTCTTAACTACAGAGAATAAACCAAACCATCAGAGGGGAGGTGGGTGGGTGGACGAGGTGGCGGGAATTCAAGAGGAGACACTCATCATGATGAGCACTGAGTAATGTATGGGATTGTTGAATCAGTATATTGTACTCCTGAAACTAACGTAACACTGGATGTTAAGTATAGTAGATTTAAAATAAAATAAACATTATATAAAAAATTAAAAGTGCAGGATTGGCTTATAAAAAGATAAACTAATGGAACAGAACAGAAAGTCCAGAAATAAACTTGAAGGCATAAGGGAATTTAGTGTGAAATGAAGACTGCACGCCAAATCAAACATAAAGATAGTCTTTTCAATAAATAGTGTCGGAAAAACTGGGAATCAAGTTGGAAAAAAGTAAAGCATATTCCATACTCATGCTACGTATCAGGATAAGCAAAGAGATCCATACAGATCACAGATTTAAATGTAAAAAAAATGAAATAATAAACACATTAGAAAACAGTAGGTGAGTCTTATTTTATCCTTTGGAAGACCTTTCTAATGATGATTCAGAATCCAGAAAGGCTGACAGTTAAAAGTAAACACAAAAACAAGTACTTTTGCAGGTTAGAAATATACCAACAGCAAAATCAAAATACAAATGACAAAATAAGAAAGACATTTGTGACTCACAGCACAGAATAAATACTTACATTCTCTCTCTATATATGTATATATATATATATATATATGTAAATTTCTAGAAATAAAGAAAAAGACCAACTTTATATGAATGTGGGCAAAGGATATGAATGGATAGGTCACGGGGAAAAAAAACTGTCACTAAACATATGAGACAATGCCAGACTTCACTGGTAAAAATACAAATTAATATTCCGTCAAGATACAATTCCTCAACTATCAGATTAGCAGAATCCAAAAGTCCTCTAGCACAGTGCAGGGAAGGCTCTGGGGAAGCGGACACTTTCAAACACCGCTTGTAGAAGTAGGAAATGGAATAACCACCAGGAAGGATTTTCTGGAAACATCTACCAGAATTTCAGATACACTTACTCTTGACCCAATAATCTCATTTCCAGGAAACCCAATATAGATATAGATTGATCTAGATATCACAAATAACATCTATACATGCATGCATTATTTGTACTAATATGAAACAACAGTTGTGCAAGGATATCCCTTGCAGGATTTTTGTAAGATCAGAAGATGGGAACAGAAGCACGCAGCAGTAGGGGCTGGGTGGGTAAGTCATGGGATATGTGGACAATAGGAAACTGTGCATCTGCAAGAGAGAATAAGGAACATCCTTACCAACTACTGACTTGGAAACATCTCCAGGATAAATTTTCATACTCGAAAAGGTAAAGAATAAAACAGTGTGTATTTTCTGTTCTTCTATGTGAACGGCTGCGGCCACCGTGCACTCGCGGTTGCTCACATGCCCAAGGAAACACTGGGAGGCCCACCCACAAGCTGATAGAGATAATAATCCAGCAGCTGGAGGGAAAAGGTGGACAGGCGTGGGTAAGAAAGAGATTTCGATGTAATCTTTTAATTTTGATAAATTCAATGAATATTGTGCATGTTTAGGAAACTGCAAATGTTCAGTGGGGCTTTTCTTTTCTCGTAGGATAAATTTCAAATTCCTGAGGCTCAAAGCAAGCCTGCACAACTTGGCCCTAGCCTGAAGGGCTTTCCCTTTCTCATCTCCTGCCCTGCGGTGACCTGGATCCGTGTGGGTGTGGCGGGAACGAGGAAGTTACGAAGTCGCGGTGGGAGGAGTTTCCGGCGCGTCGGGTCTCACCCGCGAGGCGGCGCCTGCCCTCGACACGCCGCAGAGTCGCCTGGAGTCGTGCATGCGGGCGCTCCAAAGAGGGGCGGTGGCTGCGCTCATCAAGGGGACGCGGCAGCCGGAGTTTGGGGTCGAGAGAAAAGCCGGGGCCCTGGTCCGGTGAACCCCATACACGCTGGGAAGCGAGGCCCCGTGAATATGATTCCTTTCTCCACAGAACTCCTGGACTCCCGGCGCCGTCCTCAGGGAGCTCTCGATTTTTCACGGAAGCGCAGCTGGCGCGCCGTGTCGCGCTGCTCTCGGGCACGACCTCGCGACCGGACCAGTCTGTGTGCGCTGCTGTGCTCACCGCGAGCGCGGCTCCCAGCCGGCGCCGTCCGGGCTGTGGCCGTCGTCCGGTCCGCCATGCCGTCTACCGCCGACCGTGTTCCCTGCGCTGCGCCTTCTGTTCCTGTGACTCGTCGGTCCGCGGGTGTCTCCCCCACGACCTCTCACCCGCTTCGCCCATCCCCCAACCGTCGCCCTCCTCAGGGAGGTCTGGTAAGGGCGCGCGTCCCGTGACAGCCTTGCGGGAAATCACCGCTCCTCACCGCGTTCAAGATGTTACTAAAACCCCTTCCCTGGCTGTACCGCTCGGGCCCACAGATTCGGTCCCGCCGCACCTCCGGCCGCGCTCCGCGACGCGCTCCCCTCACAGTGCTCCCCGCACAGTCCTCGTCCATGTCCGGGGTGTGTCCAGCTGCTTCTCGCCGTGTCCGCACCGTCCCTGCCGCACCGCCTGACGGCCGCTCGCCCCGCTGTCCCCGCCGGGTCGTACCTCCGAAGAGGCGCGTCGTCACCGCCTCCGCTTCCTTCCACACGACACTCCGTGACTGACGCGCGTTTACTTGTTTGAGGACTCGCTGCCTCATGACGCGACGAGCTCCACGAGGCCGGAATCGTTCTTCTCAGACTCAGAAGGATGCTCGGCGGACGGCGGTCAGTGAAGGTTTGTAGAGAAAATTAAGCTCCATAAACCTCCAGAGCGAGATTCGGATGCTCTTTCCACAGACGTGGAAGCGGAGGGTCAGAAAGGCCGGGTCGTCTCTCCAGCGTCCCCAGCACAGTCCGCGTCAAACCCCACGTCCTGGAAGGCGGCGTTGCGTCCCGAGTGTGAGCGGCTCCTCGCGGGAACGACCAGAGGGGCCTGGAGGCGGCCGAGGCCCCGAAGAGCAGCACAACCCGTCCCGGCTGACGGCGGCCTCGTGGCCGGCGGGGAGCAGCCTCGTGGGGGCCCTTGGGAACGGCCTTGGGTCTCCCCCTCACGTCACAGAACACGGATGCGGTGGGATATCCTGTAAGTGGGTCGAGGGAAACGGGTTTGCGAAAGGAACTGCTCTCAGAGGGTCCCGCGGGATGGAGGGAAGAGTCCAGAGCGGGAAACGAGCAAGGAAAGGGGGTGCGGCGTCCCCGCAGCCACGGGGACAAGAGAAGGTGCGGTTGACCGACAGCGCGCAGCTGTTGGGAACGACCCGCGGCTCTGAACAAGTGGCGGAGACTGCAGCAGAACCGCCCGGGGGTCGGGAGGCTCGCAGGCAGGACGAGGCTGCCGCCCTCACTGCATTCCTGGGGCTTCGAGTGCTCTTGTCCCTGGAGAGACTCGTACTCGCGGGTGTAGCCCCTCGCCCGCCATCGAGTTCTGGCCTAACCCGGTTCCTCTGGAAACTCCGGCTTCACCGAGGTTGGCTGAGCGGCTCCTGCTGTGAAGGCCGGCGGAGCCCACGAGTCCTGAGGGGCGGAGTGGGGGTGTGGGGGGTGGGGAAGGCTTCCCCGGAGGAGAGCTGGAAGTTCAAAGATCCTGGGGTATGTTCAATACCACATCTTACGCTCTCAGAAGTGGGTGTCAATCTAGGTGTCGTCTCAGGCCGCTCAAGGATGCGGCAGGCCCAGCAGGAGCGGACACCAGCCGCTTCTAAAATGCAGAAGCTCCTGACTTGAGACACACTCCATTAGGCTTGAACCCCTGCGTCGTTAGACTTGGCGAGCGACGGAAACTAGTCATATCAGGTTTAGTGTGTCAATCACTAAAAAGCAAAATATCTGGTATGAAGAGTTTGCTAAGGAAAACTGTACCTTAAAACTGGAATCCAAATGATCCAAAACAGGTATCCTATGAAGCGTGTAGAAACAGGCTGGTGGCCCCCGGAAGGCATCCGGCGGGCTCCCAGGCCCCTCCGCCTAGAGACAGTTGCTAGGCGGTACCCGATTTGCTCACAAATGCACTTTCCACCCAAGGATCAGCGCAGTGATGACACACAACCCACCACCCCGTCGATTGTGCTGCTCCTGTTTCATTAAAGGCAAGAGACCGTGGCCAACATCACTGAGGCTGGCAGGTCCTCTCGTGGACACGGAACTGTGCCAGTGTCTTTCCTGAACAAAAAGGTGAAGATCTTTGCCTTCTAGGTCTAGGAGTCTTTAGAATAGTTTAAGGCTGCATGTTTCATTTGTTCTTAATTCCTCTGAGGCCAGTGTAAATGTTGTCAGGGATCAGCACATCGCATAATGGATCTGACTCGTCTTCCAAGTTTTCATATTGATCTACAAAACACCAGTACTGCAATTCATTTCATTTAAACTTACTTTAAAAATATTTAGTAGGCAGATTCTGAGAATTTGAAATGTATAAAGAAAACAAAGATGTTGTTCTAGAATTCCGAGGTCTTACTTTCGTATTCATGGTAGTAATGTGCTCAGTAATACAAAAATAAAAGGGAGAAGTGTGATTGGCCCTTTTTCCAAATGCAGCTTTTTCTAGTACATCTGCCCAATCATTAATTGGATAAAGTCCCATCACGAATACTCAACACTTCCAAAAACAAATATAACTTTTCCTCAAAACAGCATGCTTTTTTTCATTTTTGTTAAATTATTCTCATTTTTGTTAAAGGTGCCTTCCCATTCCTGGTCCTTTAGACTTAAAATCCTGGAGCTATAACTGCCGCCTCTACGATATTTTTTCCATGTCTAGTAACCAATCTTGCTTTTTATCTCCTTTGTTCTCTCTCCCCGTGAGACCTCCTGTCTATTAATGTTTTCCTGCATCACTTTAGTCTCTTTGCCATTCCCTCTTCTCTCTCTCACTTTCTCTCGGTGTTTAGTCTGGAATCGAGAAGATCCGATCTTAGCCCCTCAACTGCCTAACAAGCCTTCTGCTCTAGTCACTTCATGCCTTCTTCAAAATTCCTGGCACCTGGTAGGCTTGATGATTCCTTGCTTTCTTCTATTCTGCTCTAAATATTTACTCCTGCCTCTAAGCAGGATTCAGCGACTGGCCCAAAGTTACATAAAGCAGTGGTTCTCCAAATGTCATATGCTGCGAATTACTCAGAGGCCATTTATTTATTTATTTATTTATTTTAAGATTTTATTTATTTGACAGAGTTCACAAGCAGGCAGAGACAGGCAGAGACACAGGCAGAGAGAGAGGGGGAAGCAGGCTCCCCGCTGGAGCAGAGAGCCTGATGCGGGGCTCGATCCCGGGACCCTGGAATCATGACCTGAGCTGAAAGCAGAGGCTTTAACCCACTGAGCCACCCAGGAGCCCCATCCCCCAGAGGCTTTTTAAATGCAGATTCTAATTTCGTAGGTGTTGGATGAAGACTAAGTGTCTACATTTTTAACAAGTCCCCACACCATACCATGTTACTGGTCCATGTACCACACTTTGAATGGCAAGTTCTACAAGAAATGCTAACCATGACTAGAACTCATTTCTGACCTCTCCACCCAGGGTTATCCCAAACATTGAACAGGTGAGGCAGGAGAAAATGTGACAGAATTTGCTAGGAAAACATGTTCCCCATTTTGAATCACTTCCTTACAGATCATGAGGGGCAAATAAACTTCATGGTGCTTTTCTTCCGCATGAATTTTTATTCTGTAGTAGTATAAGAGCTATGTTTAGATGGCTACAAGATTTACCACCCTCCTCAAATGTGTGCAAGTACATGGCTTGTCCAAGATTTCTCATCCATAAATTCATGATTCACATCTCTACATCCCATCAGTTTATTGCTCTAAGTAGTGATCTGGGGATATGAGGTTGAAAGAGGAAAGAGTATTTGGGGCGGTGGGGGACAGACTTTCCAAATTCCCAGAAAGCTGGAGTTAGGACACCACCCATGGATATCTGGGCATTCATTCTGCTTTTACTTCTCAATGAGCTTGTTGCTGAGTGGGGCTAGAGAACCAGAGAGTCCTAGATGTCTTAATTGCTTTTTCCAATAAAAGCAAATATTGTCCAAGTTCTTCCTAAATAGTAATGTATGTCCCTGGTATTAAAAAATACAGGACAGGGGCACCTGAGTGGCTCAGTGGGTTAAATCCTCTGCCTTTGGCTCAGGTCATGGTCTCAGGGTCCTGGATCGAGCCCCGAATCGGGCTCTCTGCTCGGCAGGGAGCCTGCTTCCTCTCTCTCTCTCTCTCTCTCTCTCTCTCTGCCTGTCTCTCTGCCTACTTGTGATCTCTGTCTGTCAAATGAATAAATAAAATCTTTAAAAAATAAAAAAAAATAAAATAAATAAAAAATACAGGACAAAATAAAGCTTCCCAGACCTAAAAGGTGTACCATCTGCAGCTAGTGTTAATGGTTGTTTCTCTCTCTTCTGGGGGCTCTGGTGGCCAGGGGAAGCTGCACTGAGATGTGCTGAGCTCTGTGGCCGCCGGCTTCCCCTAAGCCTGCGTGCTCCTGGCCAAATATACCAATACATCGAAAACCTCAGGACCGGGAGTGGGTATATTCCCTTGCTAGCCATCCATCCTCTATTTAAGCCTATAAAGTGTGTGTTTTTTTTTAAAGAGCATGGCAGTTCTTTTGATGTCATTTATTTCCATCTATCATTTAAATTAAAACCACCTCCTCTCCCCCCCTTTTTCCTACCACTCCTGCCCTCTCCAAATCTGTGAATTTGTGGGCCAAATTTTGTTTGCTCTGTCTTCCCTCACCTAAAGTCCTAGTTCTGAAACTTACTCTATTGTGCTGTGCCCTTAAACAAGTCTGTATCCAGGAGCTTTTATTATGGACTCTAAAGAATATTAATCACCAACTAAAGATTTTTTTGTTTGTTAGAGAAGGACAAAATAAAACAGTATTCCTTATATTTCTTTTAGATGTATCTAGATTGCCAAATAAAATAGCTCTTTGAGACCTGAAGAATAAACCTGTGGGTTTCCCTCTTTATATGAGAATCAAGGAATTATTCAAGGATTAAGTTTTGTCTTAAAGGAAACTGCAAAGATGCTTTCAGTTTACTTAGTATTTTTATACATATTTATACAATATGATTTCCCGTTAATGACATTTTAACTATATAATGATACTTTCCATTATACAATCTACTCTCATTTCAATACTTTACTTCTATAGTAATTAATAAATCTGAATTATTAATGACATTCTTGTTTTTAAAAAGATTTTTGAAGCTTTTCAAAAATATCTCCTTATATATTTTTCATAGCTTTGTAGAAGAAATTTGTTGAAAATCTATAGCTCCAGAGGCGTCTAGGTGGCTCATTGGGTTAAACCTCTGCCTTTGGCTCAGGTCATGGTCTCAAGGTCCTGGGATGGAGCCCCACATCAGGATCTCTGTTCAGCAGGGAGCCTGCTTCCCCCCCCACCCCCCCTTGTGATCTCTGTCAAATAAATAAATAAATAAAATCTTAAAAAAAAAAAATCTATAGCTCCAAGAGGTGCCATGTTGTGTCATTAATCTGCCTCCTCCTTTCAAAACATAACAATTCTATGGGGGAGGAGGGGTTTGTTTTGTTTCCCTCAGTACTCTGCTCAGTGATTTCCAGAAAAGAATTTGGCCCCACAAACTTGACTTTAATAGAAATTGCCTTCAGAATGCCATGTCAACCACCATGAGCTTATGTCACTAATTGGTGACATAAGCTACACCCACACGAGTGCGAGGGAAAGAGGAAGCTCTCTCCGATAATTCACAGTTACAGCATTGACTTCTGAATCGATGACACGGTAGCTGATTTCTTGGCTCATTGCATTTAAATTGAGTCCAAATTTGTACTTTGTAGAACGTTGTTTTAAAGAGGACAGAAAAATCCAAAACTGTTTCATTACGGTGACCCTGGAGACAACAAAATCCTCTGAATTATGTAGAGGCCATTATCTCACGGACAGGGATGGGCTTCCCACAGTCAACTCACTGCAGTGAGTCGTGCAGTCATGGGTTGTCTGCATTAACAATGCTATGGATTCACGTACCCCCAGCACTCAGGAGCATGTAAACTTGAAGAATTAAGACAGCTTCTGAAAACGCATTGGAATCAAATGCAGAAGACCTGAGATGGAGAAATTTATATTTGAAAATGAAAATTATATTTTCATAACCTTCATGAAAGCACAAGACTGATTTTATTATCTACAGAATAACCAGACTTCGTACCCAAATACCAAGCTTTGCTAGAGAAAAGAGATTTGGGAGGAGCAAACAAAGAAAAAAAAATCATAGGTGAAATTTCACTGGTAAAATAAAACTCTGTAAAAAGAAAGATAATACAAACCAAATAAAAATTAGAATACTAGGGAACAAGGATGATTTAATGATGAAGGTAAAAAAATACATTTTAAGCGTATGCTTAAAAAAGATGAATGAGGAAACTTAAGATACAAGTAGACTTTAAAAATGAAATGAAGATACGCAGAAGTTAAAAAAACTCAAATTCTCATCCAGAGACATTTCTTGGATAGTCTCTGTTTTGTGTAAGAGAAGTAATGATCTCAATAAGATCACAGCCTGCACGTGGCTCTGTCAGTCCATTCTCCACATCAGTACGATAGCCTAGGAAATCGCGGTCAATACAACTAGGAATAAGCATTTCCAAGAAATAAAAGCTACATGAAACTGGAAAAAATTGAACACGATTGGTGAGTCAAAGAATGAGAATGATACTTAAAATCATTTTACATGAAAAATTTACTTGGAGTAAGAAACAGTAGGATTTGAATTGGTTCAATCCCAAAGACAAAAGCAACTAAAAGTCTACGTTAAAACGAAACGGATTACACAAGTAAATAGAAGAAATGACCAGTGTGAGCAGATAAGCGAGAGCGGGCTTGGCAAGGTTCTACATCATTAAAGAAACAGAGAAGCGAGCAGAAGCTTCAGAGAACACAGA